CCATCGGGGGTTACCAGGATGTCGTCAGCAATATTAACAGGGTCACACTGACAGAGTTGTAAACCGAGGTGTTTCCATAAGCAGGGAATTATTTCTGCTTATAACATATATATATATCACAAGAAAGGTTAAGCAAACCAATGGAAAGGAAAATGTGTTTATACACAAGATTTAGGAGGGTATCTTTTCCCAAGGAAGAGTAGAGCATGATATACATGTTAGATCAACAAGTACATCACCATTTGGAAAAAAGGGCAAGGGAATTCATGATGTTATCCATACCACGGTGTTTGGGTAATAGAGCAAGACACATTTGGCAATGCACTTCCAATGTTCTTATTGTTGTTCGGCATACCACAGTCATGCTTCGAGGTAACATTAACATGGTGTTTCAAGCAAGATTGAATCTGAAGGTCACAAGAAGTACAAAGGAACAATTCCAAGAATGTCAAGAAATGTAACATATAAACAAAACATGACCAAGTCGGTATTGGCAGAAAGTCAAGGATGGTGTCGATGACAACACGAATCATCGACGGGTAAGGATGGTATTTCTCCTCAAGATTTCGATTCATATCTTAGAACAATGCAATATATTGATGGTGATCACGACAAATTTTGTCGATAGGCTCTATGAAGATGCCATTGAGCAGCAACGACCTCAAGCAAAAGGAATGATGAAGCAAAGGCTATTGGAACCACGTATACGACACGAGCTTGGATTCAAGCTTGTTGCTCAAGGTGGAATGACAAGATGAGGAAGATCGTCGTAAGCTTTGCTCATCGTCAAAAAGTTGTGCTCCAGGAATAAGGACGAGGTAGCATAGTTAAAAGTTGGCACGATAAAAACATAGCCGGTCATGCTAGGAATGATGTGATGGAGTAACACTTCAATTAAGAATTTACAAGAGGTAGTGCAATGACACAATATCCTCGAGATAACATGAGGCAATACTTGAAGGTAGGTCAAATTAGAGGTTGGACAGGTGAAATGACTTGCAGGAGACAAGTATTTTAACTTGTCCGGGAAATGGAATTAAGGAGAAAGTATGGTCGGAACCACGGTTATGAATGATCAAACCACCGATACAAGATGAACTTATAACAAGGGGTAATTGTTTTTACGAGCAGCTTCCATGATACGTTCTACATCGGGCCCATGGGCATGAACACTAAAGTTCAAGGTCGACTCCCACTTCTTCAATGCATAACCTTTCATTCACTCCTCGTTTTCAAAGAATTTTTAGTGCGAAAGATTTATCTGGTGAAGCACCAGAAGAGTATGACTCACATCTCTTTCGAGTTTACTCGGATTAGGGAAGGCATAGATTCAACCCGTAGGGGTATCTTAGGAACATATACCACTAAGTTCTAGAGCATATAACATCAGCTCAATAGCAGAGCATGGTTGATAATAAGCAGATGATACAATTTATCAAAGACATTATGTATCAGGGGAAGAACTCAAGGATTTGAGAATAGGCAGGAACGGTCAGATAATAATCCACCAAAGGATATGGCTGACCACAAAGAATCTGTTGTGAGTAACAATGCTCAACCAGAAGAAGAAATAGTGCAAAGGCATCGGATTATAGAAGCAGCTGAATAATTTCGATGTTCAAGTTGAAGCGAACTAGGTGGACAATCAATTACAACATGATTGGCCGAGTGAAAGATCGAGGATGTCGCCTAGAGGAGTGGTGAATAGGCGCTTTAAAATAATTACGGTTTAGGCTTGAACAAATGCGGAATAAACCTAACGGTTAATTTGTCAAGCACAAAACCTAAAACAACTAGGCTCACCTATGTGCACCAACAACTTATGCTAAGCAAGATAAGCAACTATGTGATAGCAAGATATATGACAAAGAACAATATTGCTATCACAAAGTAAAGTGCATAAGTAAAGGGCTCAGGTAAGAGATAACCGAGGCACGCGGAGATGACGATGTATCCCGAAGTTCACACCCTTGCGGATGCTAATCTCCGTTTGGAGCGGTGTGGAGGCACAATGCTCCCCAAGAAGCCACTAGGGCCACCGTAATCTCCTCACGCCCTCGCACAATGCAAGATGTCGTGATTCCACTAAGGGACCCTTGAGGGCGGTCACCGAACCCGTACAAATGGCAACCCTTGGGGGCGGTCATCGAACCCGTACACTTTGGCAACCCTTGGGGGCGGTCACCGGAACCCGTCAAAATGCTTGGGGCGATCTCCACAACCTAATTGGAGACCCCGACGCTTGCCCGAAGCTTTACACCACATTGATTGAGCTCCGAACACCACCAACCGTCTAGGGTGCCCAAGCACCCAAGAGGAACAAGCTCAAGGGCACCAAGCACCCAAGAGTAATAAGCTTCTCAAACTTCACTTCCACGTATCACAGTAGAGAACTCAAACCGATGCACCAAATCAATGGCAAGGACACACGGAGTACCCAAGTCCTTCTCTCCCAAATCCCACCAAAGCAACTAATGCTAGGGAGGAAAATGAGAGGAAGAACGAAAGAAGAACACGAAGAACTCCAAGATCTAGATCCAAAGGGTTCCCCTCACAAAAAGGAGAAAGTGATTGGTGGAAATGTGGATCTAGATCTCCTCTCTCTTTTCCCTCAAAAACTAGCAAAAATCCATGGAGGGATTGAGAGTTAGCAAGCTCGAAGAAGGTCAACAATGGGGGAAGAACACGATCTCAAAGGATAAGATTCAATGGGGAAGAAGACCCCCTTTTATAGGTGGGGGAAAATCCAACCGTTATGCTCACAACCCGCACGCAGCGGTACTACCGCTCGTCCTCACGGTACTACCGCTAGGGATCGCGGTACTACTGCTTGCGGTACAAAAAAAATACTTCCGTACCTACCTCCGCAGGACATGGGACGAGTTTTTTGGTCCGGAGCGGTACTACCGTTGTAGGAGCCGCGGTAGTACCGCTCTGGAGCGGTAGTAAAAAATTACATCCGCTCTAATTCGCGGTAGTACCGCTGCAGCCTTTTCAGAACACCAAAACTGCCACAACTTTTGCAAACGGACTCCGAATTCGATGAAACCAAATTTGTTGGAAAGCTAGATACAAGGGCTAACACAATATTGAAATAAATATCAATAAGAAGCAAAATAGAAAAGGCCCATAAGAAAAAGGTGAGAACCCTTCCTTGGATAAGACCGGTAAAACCTCCAACTCCGAAAACATCATAGAAGACGCATGCGAACTCCGTTTTCGATGAACTCAAGCTTGTCATCAAGATGACCATAAGCTCTAAGACTCACAAAGAGAACTAAACAAGAATCAAGAAACATGATGCAAGGATGCAATGGTTTGAGCTCTCTACTAACGATACGATCAAGCCACCAACTTGAGAGCCCCCCTTGATAGTACGGCAAACGATCCTATAGCCCGGTCTCCCAACTACCACCATGAGACTGGTAAAATAGATAAACTATCAAGGGCAAAACCTTTGCCTTGCACATGGTCCACTTGAGCTAGATGATGACGATCTTGACTCCCTCAAGTTGGACCACCTTTCTTGATTGCGTTGGCTCGATGAAGACTAGATGATTGCTCCCCCATAGTCCACTATGGGTGAGCCACTCTTTGACACATCTTCACAAGTCCATTGACACCACAATGGATGGAAAGATTCAAGCACTTGATCTCTTCGTGATTCTCCACTTGAACTTGCACACGGCAATCTTGATGACGATCACCACTTGATGTCATCCTTTCCATGGGTTGTATGATATCTTCCTCTTGACGCAAGCCCATGGACACGTACCTAACCCCACATGGAACTCTCACATAGATCATGGGTTAGTACACAAAGTGCAATGGACAATGCTTACCATACCATGGGATCACTTGATCCCTCTCGGTACATCTTCTACGCTTTGTGAGTTGATCAACTTGATTCACTCTTGACTTAGTCTTGATCAACCTTGAATCACTACAAGGATCCGGGTCTATTGCAACAAAAAAATTGTTGCAATACATGCTGTTTCGTGGAGATAAGTACCTATTGCCACGAAACGACATTCGTTGGCAGCCGTTGCAACTGGACACATGGTAATAGGTTATTACCACGAAAAGGCAATTGTGGCAATAAAGTGTGCTATTGCAACATCCATGTGGGAACTTGCCACATGTTTCCCCGTGGCAACACTCACCTGATGCCACAATTTGCTTTGTGGAGATAGCTTTAATGCAACATGTACCGAATTGTGGATACTGATATGTCATGGCGATAGACATTTGTGGCAACAACCTATGCCAACGACGGCCATTTCGTGGCGCATTACTCTTTCGTGGCAATAATCAATTGTGGCAACAAACTATGGCAACAATCCTTATTTTTGTGGCATCAGGCATGTTGCCACGATCCAATATACTTGTGGCAATAAACTATGGCAACAATTCTTGTTTTCATGGCATTAGGCATGTTGCCACGACCCACTGCGCTTGTGGCATTAACTTATGGCAACAAATATTCCAATCGTCGTAACAGGAAATTGCAACTTACTTCTTTTGATGGTGACAAATAGGTATCACAACAAATAACATCTTTGTAGCGAGAAATTATTGCGACAACTTAAACTTTCCGTGGCGATACTCTATTTCAACAAACTTACTTTGATGGCGCTAAACTGTTATCGCATCATGAATTTTTTTGTGGCGCAAAGCTATTACAACAATATAAAGTGCTCCGTTGCAACATTCTAGTGCAACAAAACAGATAGGCGTAGCAACTGAGATATGATGCAACACTATATTTTTAGTGGTGCTAGCATGTGGCAACCAAAAATGGGTTGTGGTAATAGTCTATTGCAATCGTAAAAAAAATTACAAGGTTTTAATTACAATATTCAAAACCATACATATAATATGTAGATTCATACAATTCATACTTCTGATAGAAAATATCCATCAAATAAAACTCAAATGTAATTTAGCCATCCTAATTAACTTCGAAGACTAAACTGCCTGTGATCTAGAGTCCAGTCCAGCTAGTTCTTTGGATCCTGCAATCAAGAAATAAAAAAAGTTGTAGTTAATGAGTCAAACATAACATACGCCATACAATTATGCCAGCTCCATTGTTAAAAACTATTGCCAGACTAACTAGCTAATACTGTGTCAGCAAGCATGTAACTAAGGCATCAGAACAACTATACAAGTGTGAATGGCTAAGGCATAACCTAAAGTACATCTACTAAAAGATTTTTTTGAGAGAAAAACATTGCTTTTAACTTAATGGTGTTGGACTGAATCACCCAAAACACAGAGCAGCCACAAGGGCTAGTACATCGGCCCCCCATTCCAGTTAGGTTCTAACATCCTATCAAGACTAGCAAGCTCATGAGCAACAAAGTTTGCCGAGCGACGACATACATTTATTTCATAATAAGAAAACCATAATATGAGCGGATACTTGGTATCCTCAATAACAGCAGCATAGGCCGACGAGTCCACCTTATTGATATTAAGTGCTTCCATCAGGAGTTGCGAGTCCGTTTAAAAAACGACCCTCACAACCCCTATATCAATAGGAAGAGATACTACATGGGACATTGCAGTGGACTCATCAGCGAAGGCATCACGCGCATGATCATGACATCCTGCTCATGCATACAGAATGGTACCATCGTCCGATCGTACATCTACTAAAAGCTCCTGCTATTGATTTAAGTTATGACTAGATGTATAGTTTCAGTTAAGTTCATGTCCCTAGCTAGCACATATTTGTATTTTGTTTAAGTTGTGACTCGATGCAGCAACAACACATGGTAAAAGAGAAGAAGCAGCTAGCTAATTATGAAGACCAATGACATATAAAATGCAGGTGAACATGAAGAGAAAGCAAGGTTGTGACTTACCATTGCTTTATACATTCGAGATTGCCTTGCTGCAGCTTGTATGAGCGCATTTGAAGAAATAGCAGTCGGCCTTGAACCTGGAGTCTTATTAGGACTAGATGTCTGTGAAAGAATATTTTGCAAGTTTGGATTACTATTTTCTTTGTCAACCCTCTTCGTAGGAACCTGTAAATAGAAGTCCACTTTTAGCAATGCAAGTAAGCAACATAAATCTTACAAGGTCAGAAGCATATGACTGTAATCACCATCACCTGTTGGGTTTCTATCTGTTTGCTCAATTCTACAAACTTTGCCATCATGTTTTTTTCAAATTCCAGTCTTGATGTTCGCTCCTCTTGCAACAATCTTTCCCTTTCAACACGCTCTTCTTTTAACCTCTCCTCAAGTTGTTCTCTCTCAGCACGCTCCAAGTTAATCCTCTCTTGTGTGTTAGCACGTTCAGCTTGTAGTTGATCTTCTAAGTCATTGACCTGCTGGCTGAGCTGAGAGTTTCGCTCCTGGGTGGCTGCTGTAGCACGAGCTTGCTCTTCAATCTGGATACGGAACTTTTTAGAACCAGTTGAAGTTTTGTCCATGTATCCGTACCCACGAGGCTGCGATGACTTGCATTCTAGAGTGTCTTTGTAAGCGGTCTGGAAAACATTGTTTTTCTGCTCACTTGAAAGTGGACCTTTAGTTTCAGCTTCTTTGTTTTTAACCTCTTCAAGTGCTTGGTCCTAAAAATGATAGGAACAATTATAGATGCAACATCAATATTGACACTATAAAAGATGAATCAAGAATAACACGACCCAACGCATGAATAATCACATCTGATGATGAAACATGCCGAATGCACATCATTGACTAACTATAGAATAACCAAAAGTCAGTGTACTCACGTAAACTTTCTGGGAATCTGTGTTAGACCATGTTCCATTATTTGTGTGGGTGAGTTCCCATAGAGCAATACAATCTGGCTCTTCTCCAGTTTCTAAGTTTCTCTGCAAGTAATATAACAATGAGATGCTTGAAACATGACACCATATTTAGCAGCAAGGCATACATATTTAATTGGACTTGTACCTTCTCAAAACTAACTTGCGAGTAAGATTTTGTTCCGATTATATGTTTTGTCTTCTGTTTCTTACGGTTATCAGCGTTCTTTTGGCTGTGTTCCTATCAATTCATTGAAACCAGATATAACCAATGAGACTAGCCATTTCACCTTAACACATAATAGACTAACCGTGACCTTAGAGATAACCTGAAATTTTGAATCAATGCCAAAGTACTCAATCATCCATTCCCACTCTTCTGGTTGTAAATCTTCAGGCAGATTAGCCAATCTAGCTGCATCTGTTTTGTATGCCTTGTAAGTGGAGCTTAGAGTTGATCGCCAGCCTCTATATCTCTCTTTCGCAATTTTGAGAACTTTTTCTTCTGTTTCTGGTGTATCTTCCAGGTCCCATCTGTCCTGTAAAGCATACAGCAAATAAATATACATAAGCAGTGCATTATCGATGGTAAAATAAGATAACACATGTGAAAAATATTGTACGCACTATTATATCTGCAACAATGAGTCGATGAATGGTAGGGTGAATGTCCGACCACGTCCTCACTCCAATGAGTGGTAACTTTCTTTTCATTATGACAACCACGTCATCCTTGAACGAACGATAGTTCATTCCTACTGTACCACCCAATTTTTCAGAGAATGTAATATTTAGCTTTGCAGATCCATTGGCAAAACGCTTCTTAGATGCTTTAAAACCTTTTAGAACACCTCGCCCTTTCTTCTTCTGTCCACCAGCTTCTACAGCCCAAATCATACAAGAAAAATTATATTACTCAGCATTAGATTGTAAGAAATGATGACACAAATGTAAACGAAAGCAAGTACCATCCTGTAGTCGCGCACGATTGCGGCGAGCATGGGATGGCCATTCAGCAAGGGAACACATGTCATTAGCAGACACTGGAATGTCAGATTGTTCTGGAGTTGCTATAAAAGATTTAGTAGTCTTGAAGGTTTAGCTATTTAACCCACACCAAGATTTTATGCATTATAGGAAATGCTAAATAATTTACCAGATTTGGGTTGTCCACGTTGGTTTTTGTATGCCGTTATACTTTCCATCCTTGTTAAGAGAACAGAGCATTTCTTTACTGCACACAAAAACAATCATGGGACTTAGCATTAACAAAGCATTGATGTTCTGCATCATTCAGATAGGTGATTATGAAGTAAGGATGTTGTGTACCAGGAGCATCCTCCGTAAAATTCATCATTGTGCCCTTGTGTGGGTAAACCAGACATATGTGAATGAACATGAAAGGCAAAGTATTAGTGATAGGTTCATGAAAATACTACTCTGAATCTATAGGAAAAAAATGCAATGTGACTCGTGTAAGACCAAATATCTATTAAAAATCAGCTTATAGTAATCTGAATCAAATGCAATGCAGATGATGACTAAACCTGAATGCTCTGCTCTGTTGACGCACATATAACATCTAATATATGACATTATGTCTTAAAATGTGTTGAAAGAAACTCATCTCGATCTACGCTAATTGCTAAAAAATATTTATAAGAAAGTGACCGTAGGATGTATAAGAAGAAACCAGAGTGTAAGAATGTGGATTTATTTTCGGCAAGCCGGATAATATTACATCGAAAGCTAATCAACCTGATTCAGATATAAGAATTAATGTTGTATGCAGAGTGACAGTGACGGTGATGGTAGGATTCTAAGTGTAATGTAAAGATTCAGACTGAACCCAGGGGGGAAACAAATGTAAAGTGGATCATGAAAGCATCCATGTATGTAGAAAAAAACCTGGTATTTGGCACCATTATTAGTTGGGGGATTGAACTCAGGAAGCCGGCACTTATCTAATAAAAATGCAAGCTAGCTAGCTTTGCACATACAGATTACAGAGTATGTCTATATCTTTCAGTTAATGGATCTAGTGCTCAAAAACCAATCTAATGCTCACGACCCCCTTTGGGGTCCACGAGGAAACAGAGCGAAACAGGAGCAGAGATGGTGGAGAGGCCTGCAGGCACCTCGGGCACACTGGGGTCGGGTGCGGCAGTAACCAGCGCCTGGCCACCATGTCACAACGCCGGCGTGCACAGCCGAGACGGCTGCGGCCATGAACCGGGCCGGGAGGCCCCGTCGAGCCCCAGTTCAAGGCCGAGGCGAGCTCCATGGCGGCCAGCCTCCATGCCAAGGTGAGGCGCTGCGCCGACCCTCCAGGCCGCGAGCGCCTCCGCCGAGGCGGCCAAATCGAGGCGCGATGGGAAAATGCCACCGGCGGCGGCATGTCCCCTGCCCTAACTTCTTTTCTACGGCCAAGCGGCGATCGAAGGAGAGAAGGGGCAGCCCCTCTGAATGGATCAGGATTGAGAGAGCCGCGCATCGATGAGGAGCTCGTGGGGGAGGGGGGTTTGATCCCGGACGGAGGCGGGCGCAGAGGAGAGGGGGGAGGGGGAGATCGAGGAGGACTGGATTTTTCAGCGATGGAGGAGATCGGGAGGAGGACTAACCTGACGCCGTGCACCTGACGTGGTTCGCTCTATTGACGCCGTCATGACGCCGGCAGCACAGATGAACCGAGACGAGAGCTCAGATCCAATCGCTCGTGAAGACGCCGTCGTTTGGTCTAGAATTATATATTCGTGGGTTGTTAGGAAGGTATTTAGCGGGAAGCTAATTTTTTGGTGGGAACAAAGACGCTAATTTGGGACCTTTTAGCGGGAGGTTAAAAAATATTGGCGCAAAAAACAGTACACCTAAATTAGGTGGTGGGAAAGTAACTCTTTCTGTTTAAAAAAAGTAATTAGTTTTTAGGTAATTTTCTAGGTTGTAGATATATTTCGAGATGGAGGGAATACTAAAATGTTTTGAAGACTTGCCGTGTAAATGAAATGAAAAAGAATGCAAATTTTCCATGGCACGAACATACTGCATGTTAATTGACATGGCAAAATTACCTGGGTGGATTTGCAGTAGTAAGTACAAAAGCAAAATCAAATCTGTTAAAAGTTGCAATGCTTAATGTGGTCATCATCAATCCTACAAAGTCAAAAAAAGGGAAACAAACACATATTTCTACAATCAACTCAAATTTGTTTTTATTTTTACTACTCCATGTGAACATGGCCAAAGTTGTAGTGGTGACATGGCGAAAACTATATTAGAGGCATGGCAAACAGATTAGCAAATTTGCCATGGTAAAAAAAAATATGTGTATGTCATGCCAAAAGTTATAGTGGTGACATGGAAAAAGCTATATTAGAGGCATGCCAAAAGCTATAAAATCCTTTTTGCCATGGCAAAACAGTGTTCAACAATATATACTTCTGATTCATGGCAAAATCTAGAGAAAATTCGATTCATGATTCATTTCAAAGCTAGAGTTTGTATGTACTGATCACATGGCAAGTTTACAAAATTTGCACTACAGACTAAATACAGGAGGACAAATGCCATGGCAAATTAAAAAAGGGCAACCTGGTGCATGTAGCTCCCGCTTGCGCAGGGTCCAGGGAAGGGTCCGACCACTTTGGGTCTATAGTACGCAGCCTTTCCCTACATTTCTGTAAGAGGCTGTTTCCAGGACTTGAACCCATGACCTCATGCCATGGCAAATTACTGAATATAATTCTCGCAGGAGGACAAACAACACTAAACAGTGCTAAACACTACACACTAGTTGCCAATTTGCCATATTGTACTAAATATCATGTTCTACACAATTTGCCATGCTCAAAAGAAACTATTCCAGAAAAAATATTGTCAAGATGTACCCAATGTGTACCCATGTGAACCAGAAATCTAAAGTCAAACAAATTGGCATGTCACTACTAAACAAATTCCCAAGTCACTGCTAGACAACATAAAAAAAAGGGGACACATGATCTTCTCCATCAATAGTCTAGCAATTCCTGTTTCAGTGCAATCAGTGTATGATGTGCTACCGAACAACTAAAAAAGAGTTCATTCTTATTTTGCATATTTGTCTATCATACATTTGCTCTCCTAAACTTTTAGTAATATCCAATACCTTCCCACGTAAAGCTGTTGAAAAAGGACGAGGAGATCAAGGACTCCAGAACTGATCCGACTGAGGCAAGAAACCTGAAGTGAACACCAGCCCCCTCTGCTCGATGCACATATCCTATCCCCGATACTCCCACTCCCTGTACAACAAAAGTGCAAAGTTTCAGTGTACATTAAGCTGAACCTGAACCATTCTTTGTGACGAAACTTCCTGTTCTAACTAAATCTGCACGCATGTGCTCTACTGTTGTGCTCGTCCCAGGTCAGTAGCAGTAGGAGAGCTCAGCTAACGGCAAGGCACATGAGAACAGCTCGGGCGGCTACTAGGAGGCGGCGGAATACCTGGGCTCGGGGTGAATCCCGGCGAGCAGTTCACCATCCGCACATCACTAGAAGAAAACGGCATCCCCGCCGCCGAGCAGATCCCTATTGGCGCATCGGCGAGCAGGTCGGCTGCGAGCTGCAAGGCCTCGTCCACCTCCTAGTTGACCTCCATGAAGCGCCGCGGCGTCAGCGTCAGCACCTCCACTGCTCTCTCCCTCCGCGCCCCGCCTCCTCGAACAGTACCTCCCTTGCTTCTCCCCCTTCCGCGTCCCGCAGCCTCGTGCGCCACCAGGCCCCGCCTCCCGGTGTAGGATGACGGCGCTGCCGCTTCAGCTGGTCTCCATCGCCTCCCTCGCGCCCAGGGCCTCGCGGACATCGCCATCGCCGCCGGGTTGGAGGTGGGCGCATCGCAGGGATGGTGCGGGCAGCGTCGCCCCGAGCGCGGCGGCCTGGTGCTCGCGGCGGCGCTCGGCATCGGACCGCGACGGCACCTCGCTCCGGTCGGCGAGGAGCTGAGTCGTAGCGCGGTAGTACCTGGTGCTCGGCTGTAGCGAACGCCAAATCCCTGGCCCCCTCCGCGGATCCCTCGTGGTCGTCGTCCTCGACCCCTGCCGCCGCGACTGTGGCGGGATCTGGTCAGGGAGGAGCCTCGTCGCCGGCGAAGGCCACTCCTCTCTGTATTGCGTGGCGGAGACAGAGCAGTGTGCTCTGAGCGGTGGAGCAAGGGGAGAAGAAGATAGGATTGATGCTGGCGTTCGGGATGAAGCCTGTTTTAGACTGATTTACCGAACGAAAACAAAACGTGACGTGTCGGACCTCAGTTGCTATGACATTCGTGCCTGTAATCAATGGCACAGAGATTCTAAATTATGGGTCTTTCAGAAGTTAGGAGTTATAGATTCCGAAATTTATTTATAAAAAGTTATATCGTGGTGAAAAAAACACCAAATCCGAGAATTGTGAAGGGGCGAGCCGACGCCCTTCCCTGTAAGGTTTTCGTCGTCAATATTTGTATAGTCATCGTTATTTGAGAAGCCAATTAACGAATGAAAAAGAGTTTCCCTGTTTATATTGTAAAACAATCATCACATGTGTTGAAGCAACTGATACAAAATGAACGCCACACACACCCAAGGCAATATACACAAATGCCGGGCACCGACACACAACCTCAAGAACTACCAAGCACCTACAAGATGTGCAAAAAAAGGATCCGCTTAGAGCCCCGGAGACCACCAGCACGAGGAGCGATCATCCCGGACCAAGGACTCCAAGATGATGCCTCCAGAAAGGGCACGACCACGAACGTCGCTATCGTCCGATCCGAAGATCAAGTTTTCACCAAAAGTAAGATAGAAGGAGTGGGAGGAACACCACGTCCACGGATGCCTTCACCGCCAACCAGTGGACGGACTGGGTAGGTGATGTACCACGGTGCTTCAACCCCTCCGCTGTAACCCCGGTCCGCCAACCACCCGCAGCCAATTAGGAAGGTGTTGTTTCATCATGGATCTACACTTGGGTTGGATATGTCAAAAAAAGTGTGCCTTGGTGAATTGTTGGTCAAAGCAGCAGAAATTTGGCCAGCTCTAAATTACATGTCACAAAACCTCATGCGCCCCTTACTTTAATACTATTAAATTATACTCTTGTCTCGAAACATAAGTACTGATGGCATGGGTTGACGAGACGGTCGATCTATGTCAGTCTCGATCTCATATTCCAATCTTTAGACGGGGTGATCTCAGCATCTTTCATTTTACCAGACAATCCGTCGAGGGTTTGTCCACGCCAGAGTAGGTCCAACATAATTATTTCGCTTTTGTTCAAAAGATAAGCATATAGATTCAATTACTATGTAAATTAAAACAACCCTGCATCGCGGCACCTTTGCGTGTCTGATCCATCCTACATTGGATCCACACGCAAGGGGGTGTGACGCCCGGATAATTAAGCGACAGTAAAACTCTGCTAATGATATCACGTCACCTCCGTTACTGTTGCTAATCTTTTGTTAGTTCAAAACCGATTCACAAATCAATTCAAAATATGGCAAACAACAAAAGTTTTCAAACATTGAAACAAAAATGTTCGGAGTGAACCAAATATTGCATAGATAATTATGGTGAAGAAACCCCACTTTTATAAAATATTTAAAGGCTCTAAAATAACTAAAACAATAGGTAAAACAATCAAGTAAATACCTTTTATATTTAATATAATATTAAACTAATTTAATTGGGCACTAAAAACTTTCTATGGCACTGGTCTAACTTGATATGCTAATCTAGGTGCTAAGGATGTGTTTTACAAAAATAAAATAATTAGATCCTAAAATATAAATAGAACAAGAAAAGTAAAACAAAAACTAAGCAAATAAAAAAAGAGAACGAAGGAAGACCCATCCTTCCCTGGTCCGTTCGGTCCAACAGGGCTACCAGGCCCCCCTGGCCAGCCCACCCCGGTCCCCCTTATCCCCCACCCGACCAAATCCTAATCCACCACCACACCCCCACTTCCCTCGATCCCCTGGATCTGGATCGGGAGAACGCAACGCTCGCCGCCTGCCCCGTCCCCATCGCCAAGCACCCCGTGCCCGCCCCCCTTGCCGCGTCAAAGAACCACCTCGCCGGCGAGCCCGCGCCCGAGGATGGCCGCCTCCGCCCCGCACCTCTACTTCG